CCCCAAGGAACACTCACAAGTTATTGTCATCTCGCTCCCTCCCCCTTCCCATACCCCCCCCCCCACACACACACACACACACAAACAAGCAAAATTGAGAAAAAACATAAATTTGATTACAATATATTAAGTCAATAATCGCATGCACATAAATAGGTAAGCGTGTATTTGGTTGTGAGTTTTCAAAGTATTCTCATTTCAAATGACGACAAAAAAAACAACAGAGAGAACAGAAATAAGAAAAAAAATGGAAGAATCAAGAAAGAGCACAGACAAATCAAGTGATGGCAACATTATGGCGACATGAAATGAGAGTGAGAAAATTTGTGCTTTTGTTTAAATACAAAGACGAAGTATGAAGCGGGAAAATACGAAACAGAGTAGTGGGTTTGATTTCTGCAAAAAGTTATTCGACATGTGAGACATTGCACATAGTGAGTACGAGAAGCAAGTTCTTTTTTGCCTTTAGTTAAATAAACACTTATTGAGAGGAAGTGGGAGTAATATTTGTACTGGAAGAGGTAGGGAATGGATTTTTGGATGTATCAGAGGGGGCAATGTTCAAAGAAGAAGAAGACGTCTCTACGGTTGCTGTCGAGCCTGTTCCTGCACTGGATTCCTGTCCACGAAGTCGAAGACGCGCAAAATCCTCAAAGATTAAGTCATCATTTGGCAAAGCCGCTGGCCTAAAATACAAGGAAAACTCAATAAGAAGAACAGTACGAATGACTCGCGATGCATTTAAACAATTTAAACAAGAAATACGGGCTCTAATTGATTTATATCTGCAGGTGCCCCCAGGTGGTGGATAATTTCCTCCTTCATTTAGAAATAATGGCTTTAATTATAGCAAGAGTTGTCAGATTTACTAGCTGTGGATCTTCAGAAATCATACGATTCAGACATGGGCTAGAATTTACCGACTTGGTGCCATATCATCAAAATGGGAAAATAAAGAGCAGATTGAATTTTTGCTGGAAAATTATTAAGTTCAACTTATAAAATGGTTATTTAGACAGCCCTTAGTGAAATTTTATATCAGCCAAAATGAGGTAATAAAATGTGAAAAAATCGTGGAATAGACTTAACTATTTCTCAATGGGACCAAGAACTGGAGTACTGTCGTATTATGTGAAATTAGCTTTTGATAACTCCATTCTACCATTGTATTTTTTCAAACTGAGAAAATTCTAATGGAAGGACATTTTTTGTTCTTTAATGTTTCGCCCAGTAGAGTGCGCCAAAACGGAGAGATGAAGATTGCCTTGATCATTCTCGCCATTCATAAAAGCCAGATGAATAAGAAAGCTCTAACCTTTTTTTTCAATAGCAGTTAAAATTAATACAAATGAGAAATTTGATCATATGAATCACGCTATCAATCACAGAATACCGATGAGTATCGATATCTACTTTCTGCCACACAAGGGACCAAGCAAAAAATTACATTTTCGATTTCGTCAAAAGTGTTACGTTATGGAGGGGGGGGGGGGGGGGGGGGGGGGGGGGGAGGCGAGGAGTAAATTAAGGTTTCAAGTCACATGAATTGCTCTTCGTTTGAATTTTAACTTTATTAGGTTATCTGTTTCTATCTATCGGGTATATTTCACTGCATCACACCCCCAAGTGCTTACAAGCTCTGTATTTTTAGCCTGACAAAAGACCTTCTGGTTGGCACCCCCCCCCCCTTAATAACCAATTGATTAAATGGGATTGGTAGTCATGCCTCCAAGTTAGTGTTTCGCCCCCCACGGAAGAGATGAACGCTGTTATTTGATACTAGCTTGGACGGCAAGTAGCACTTTTCCAAAGTGTACGCATAATTATTATCCGAGGAAGGTGTATCACATTGAAGATCAGTCTTTTATAGCAGTGAATATCCCAAGAGACCGAGTAAAAAAGCTAACTCAAAAACCAGATACAAAACCCTGTATTGAAAATGTTATAGCTATCTTCTCCCTGTGAGATATTAGTTGTGGAAAAACGACCCGAAGAGTCGAACGAACATCTACCAAGGTAAAAGTGTTATCGCCCAGGAGGAAAGTTCAAATCAGAGGAAAATACAGAGTGACACGCACTTTACCCCATTTAGCATTCGGTGCACTATCTACTAGAACCCCATTATCGATATAGAACAATATGAGCTTACTCACTTCACTGTACTTTTTCTAATTACCCTGACTGCAGTTCCCTTTGGAGGCTCCAATACCTTAGCCGACACTTACATTCGAAAGTGCACATACTGAAGATGGCTGAAAACTTCATTTGTGAAGAGCTCGAGAATTAGAGAAAGTGTCAACAAATATTTTCAATAATGAAATGCTAATAGGTAGTGCGAAAGATTTTTGCCTAAGCAGATAACATTACCAAGAACGCTTTCTAGCAAACAAATACTACCATTTCTAAGAATCAAAATGAGATAACATTAAAGGCAGACATGAAGTGGGCTTACTGTTTCCCTGTGAAGGGATTCGCAAGATTTGAAAAATCACTATCCGCAATAACAGATGTAGTTGAAGCAGAGGCGATACCCTCGTTTTCACCTCCTCCACTCGCTATCGCTATCTGCGAAGTTGTGGGTGATGGTTGTTCTATCACAACAGCTGACGTTGTGGTCATTGTGGGGGTCGCAACGGCAGCAGTACCAGGACGTCTGGTGCTGGGATCAGCTGAAGGACTGATCGCATTGCCATTTGCAGGATTTGCATCTTCATCATCCTCTGGAGGTGGTTTTGGATGCGCCAACGTGAAGGGTAATTCCACTGACACGTCACTGAAAAGGTAGTAAGAAGTTATTATGATGACGTAAACGAATACTTAGTTTGTTTGTTAAGTAATTCCCGGTAATAATTTTGGTTATTTCAGTTTGTCCATTACGATCATAGCAGATCAGTCTGCCTTCTCAGCCCTTAGAAGAAGGAAATGATTTGAAGTGACAAGATTGACCGCCGTAATTAAAGAAACGGTCCGCGACCACTGAATACTGCGGAAATAATCTTACTCATTTAGCTAGGAGTCACACATGATGGGGCTTGAACAATATGAAGTCACAAATTAAACCATCGTACTTTTAGAAATATTGAGAACTCAACATCCCTCCCTCCCAAATCAAAAAGGTAAGGATCGTGTCATCCCGGTTTCATTTTCTACTTCTTACTAACCCATCCTCCGTCTCATGTCTTATTGAACTTGGTTACCATTCGATCTTGTTTCCTCAATGTTCAGACGTTTAAGGATCTATTTCTAAGGTTCTTGATTGAGTACGGTTGGGTGACACTCGAAGATCTAACAACCCAAAAAAATTAGAGTAAACGCGTAACACATCCATGGATAAAGATGGAAAGAAAGATTACAGTTAGTGACAAATGAAGTTATGTTCCAATGATGTGCGAAAGAGCATTGGCATTTTTATGATTCCCTATGCATGCGGGTGTAGAACAGTAGGTAGCGCAATCGTAATATGCATTGCCAAAGCGTTTCTTTGATCTTTAGGCAGCGAAGCAGCGTATTAAGGCAGTAAAGAAGTTCCTTTATGCGTAGTTGGTTTACAGCGGCCTTCTTAACTAACATAGAATAAAAAAACGCTGCAAAAGGTCCCTTAATGGGGAATTAACAAAATTTCCACCGTAATTTGAGTATAACTTCACTAAAGACAGTCTAATCCATATATACATATCCTTAAAACAAAAGTAAACAAACAGATTATCCAACCACTAAACGGGATATCGACCTACATCAAACTACCATGACCCTACTGTATGTCACCTACCACTACGAAAGTACTAACCTTACCTTTGTATCTGTTCCCTCTCTCGACATTTTTATGACTTTGATGTTCCTCCCCTCTGTGAAGCCTGAAGTCAACTAAAGGGCTAATGATAACTATCATAGAGCCTGGCATTTGATATAAATATTGTTATTTTCCTATAGGAAATGCAAAGAAATTCTCAGTAAAGTTAAACATCCAGCTGAAAAAAAAGAAAATCTAGTTCAATTTCGAGGAGAAAACGTTGTGACAAGATAGAAATCACAACAGGCAGAAGAAAAAATCTTATGACTTGTAAAGAGTCCTTATGGCGCGATCCTCTAATAATTCAGGCTCAATTTCACCAGCTGCCAAAATTCTTGAGTGTCATTATTACTAATGGCGGTTATTTTGAGTAAAACTCTTTACCAATAGTGAAATCTCCCTTTCCACTAAAGTTCTTTGCAGTTGTCAAACGCCTTTCCCACTTTTTTCCAAAGAGGCTACTGAAAATAAAAACCTTGTAGAATTCAATTTAGAACTCACTTTATTAATGAGACTTTCACTCAGTTCACGCAGGGTCTTACAGCTATGAGTTAGGTCAAATGCTAATCCTCTTCATGAAATGGGCAAGTCCTTCTTCTTCTCTCCCCCCTCTCTCTCTCTCCAGGCGACAAAATTAACTCTATCATACAAGTGTTATGAATAAATTAACCTGTTAGGTTATAGCCGCAATACATTTTGCGGACAACTATTTCCTACGCTCACGGCCAAAAGCACATTATCCAATTAATGGCCAATTAATTACAAATATCAAAATTGCAACATTTTATTCTAGAAATGTACCTACTTATAAAAATAATGATAAAAAAGAAATGTGTCAGAGTTCCGTAGTCAGACTAGCCAAGACCTGAGAATTTAGAATTTAATAATTTCCACATTAAGGTTAAATTTAAAGCACTTAAACGATGAAAACTCTTAGGAGGAAGCTAGCAGTAACTGCAGTTCATTGTTATTTAAAACAAAACGTTAATGAGCAACGTATCTTTCTCAACAAAAAAACCACAAAAAATACAAGGGATATCAATAAGAAATCGGTTATTTTACAAGCTGATGTTTGTGTTCAGTTTGTGTACAGGCCCGGTGCAGGAAACAATGACTCTCTTAGTTTTTTGCTTATCAGACAAATCGCACAACATTAATTTTGAGAAGCAAATTTAATTTTGTTGATAAGAGTGAAGATAGCCGACCGCAAAGAAGACAGACATTGAACACTGCTGCACTCTTTTCAGGTCTTGAACGCCTGCAAAACAGGGCTACTCCAGGCATTGCTGAAATTCATGGTCAAGTGCTCTGAAATACTTACATCTCACAAGAGGAATTGAAATGTTGTACCACAATCAGAACTAACTACACATTTTTAAGACGATAACGATGTAGTAAATTCAGTGGTTGAATCGCATATCCTTAGTGAAGTATGAATGGTCTCTAGAAGAAACTCGTATACTCGGTTAACGCAAAGGGCACTTGCAAAATGTGCAATAATCCTATTATAAATTGTCAAAACTAAGCGAAACAGTGAAAGTTGAAGTTTCCTGCTCTCAAAAATTGAACAAAATCGTCCTGGTTTGTTTAGGTGGATAAAATGGGCAATTCTTCCACATGACAATGTCCAGTTGAAACCCCAAAGCAAGAATGACCTCCTAAAAATGCAATAATTACTTTGGGAGATTCTATCAAATCCTTAATATTCTGTCAGACCTTTCATCATTTCATAATCGACTTTCACTTCCATGGAACATGCTCTTAGAGAAAACCATTTTAAAAGAATCACCTTATTTAGTGCAATATGCATAATTATAAAACAAATTATCTTGTAATATTATTTGTCAAATGTTCAATTTCTTATTGATATCACCAATACTTCGCGCTTTGAGCCAGTTTGATTTACATCCCAAAATGCCGACAAACCCAAGAGGGTTCAAGTACAAATCCCAAACTTGAAAAGAATGCCAACGGTACAACGCTGTAACAGTCTTTACTAGAGAGAAGAAGCCCCCAGAAGAAGCCCCCATGAGCGAATAGGGAAAAATAAATGGACCCTTCTGGATAAAAGTAAGGGATTGCCGCCAGATGACTTTTCATCGTGTTTTTCTATCGTCACTTAAGAAATGAACTATGAGAAATTGAAAGTAAAGAACGAATGAACAAGCATATAAGGTGACCCCCCCCCCTCCCTTTGATGCATGTTATCCAGAATTAGAACCACTTAGTCAGGAATTTGGAAGAAGGTGCATTACAAACAAGCAGATGGATGTATCGATGAAAATAGAAAATCAAAATATTTGTGGAGTACGAACGCATTGCAAAGCGGTGCAGAGAGCGTGGAATTTATGGCACCAGCATAAACTCCATTATTTTTACCATTTCCTATCCCCTTAAAACCCAAAATGTCCACCCCCACTCCCCCCCCCCCACCCACCAAGAAAAGAGTAAAGAATTGTGAACTGCAACAAAAGTCGTCATTCTCAACTAAATAAACCCCCCTCCTAAAGCACAAAGCTCAAAGGAGACTACAAAAAGTCCCGCTCTAGCACGAGGCCATAAAACGGGGCAAACAGTTAAAAAAATATCGTAAGGCAAAAGTGGGGGGGGGGTGGGGGTTGGAAGAGGAGGAATATCGAAGCAGATGGACCATAACACATATGTGCTCAAATGAAGAAAAAAAAATGAGGTGAGACAGAAGGTCACGTAGAGTCACGATCAAAGGAAAGAGATAATTTTGACTAATTAATGATAATTATGATAGTTACCAACGAAAATGATATGAAAGAGTGCAATAATTATAGAAAATTTAAGTTGATAAGTAGATTTAGTAGACAGCGTGACGGACAGCGTAACAGTTTACCAGTTAAGGCCTAAATATTCGCGCTATGGAGAGAAAAAAACTGAATTTCAGGACCAAACCCTTGATATTACACTCATCACCGTAAGCAATAACATAGCACTCACTCGGCAATATAGATATTATCAACACTAACCAAGAGACCTACTTCTATGTTTTTTTTTATTGGATAAAAATGAATAAATCTAATCCAATAAGAGGTAAATAATGAGACATTGTTAATAATTCGTCAAATGTGAATTTTTTTCCTTGGTAGAAAAGGATGGGAAAGATTATAAACCTAACAACTATGTTATCCATAGAATCTAGGCAAGTCATCGAAGAGTGAGTTTAAGACCTTAGCATCTAAAGCGATTTTAAACTAAGTAAAATCATATCATTTTGAAATAAAAAAAAATATTTTACGTCATATGATAATCATTGAATCAAGATTACGAAAGCCAAACGGGAAGATGTCTTCATTAAGTTAGATAATTGTGTAAAGGAAGTTTTTTGCCAAGGCTACGTGCCAACGTTCGTGTGTCATTTACTATTCAAAAGCATTAACAAAAATTCAAATTCGTTAAATAGCAAAATAAAACCCCAAGTTTACTGACAATAGAACGATGGAATCAGCCTCATCACTATAGTCATATATTTTAAAAAAAATTGCAATTATATTCGCTAACTGGAAGTACATCATAACGGATAACGCATTAGTTCCCACCTAATTAACATAATCAAGCAAAATAACTCTCGAAATTGCAGAGAGAGCGTCACAAACCCCGAGGTCCCCACCAAGGGACAAGTTAGTATAGAAGAGTCCAACTCACCTAGCTCCAAAGCCCAAGACAAGGCGAACACGAACTCGATATTGAACAATGATTCCAAGATTCTCCTTGTGTGTAGGATCCAGAACACTACAAGACGAAAAACAGGAAATATGTATTAGCAGAAGGGGAAAAGCTAAGGTTCTACACCGAGAGAAGAAAGCAAATCACTGTGGGCGGTAAATAATCAATAGGGATTTTGTAAGCATTAAATTAGGAAGAATAGCAAGGAAGATTCATTTATTAACTATACACTTATCCTGAGCACCTGAAGCGGTTACGATAATTTAAATTAACTAATTAGTTCATGAGCTCTGGACACCCCCCACCCCCAATCGAATAATAAACTCCCTCAGGAAACACTGCGCAAGTATTCAAATATGAGCAATGAAACATGAAGCGAATGCAAGCAAGGTGAAGCTAATGGTAAATTGTGGAAAAGTTTGGTAGTGTTTACATTATGTTTTACGTCTATTCAATCTCTTACAATAAAAAAAACTATCGCATTGTAAGCCATTCTAAAGAACGCATCCTTTGATGGACAAATTTGTGCTGTCTTACTCGGCGGATGACCCCTTCCATCAATCCCTCTCTACCATAAATTGGGTTTCACTTACCCCCCCCCCCTCCCCCCTATCCTTCCAATTCGACATCACTTTCTTTATTCCCCCCTGGCACTTTTCTCTTACCCCTTTACGTTTATTCAATACAATTTACTCATGGCCAACTCGTTTGGGAAAGAATGCTATTTCCAGTGGAAATGCAATGGCAAATTTAGTTCAATTCGGTGGGAATTCTAAAGTAGGTTGAATGGAGGCGCACCTATAGCACTTTAGTGCTTACTGTGCTCAAATTCTTACCACAAAGAAAGAAATACGGAACCCAAAATGATAAAAAACCCGATTGATTGAGAATAGTACATTTGCCATTTTAATTATGCACCCTTCAATTTAAATTAGTTGGACAACAAAAAATTAACAAAAAAAGGCCAATTAGTTGCTCTTTCATGACGGAGTTTTCAATATGTCTGACTGCAGGTTAAAAACAAGCGGTAGCCGAGTGGTTCGTTAAACAAGCAAAGGAGAAGAGGGAAATTTTTTACGAGAAGGGAATGAATGAAACAAAAGCTTATTAATGTGGAATAAGTAACAAAGTCCATCAATGTTGAAAATGGATTAAAAATTACTCCAAAGTACAAGCGCATCTAGGGACATAATAGATGAAACATTTGTCATAATAACATATGAAAATGAAATAAAAATGTTGCCTATTTTTAAAGTATACGTGCATGGTGTTATATGATATTACGCCCGACATCATTTGAAACTCCTTCACATTGCAGTAGAGTTTGTTTTGCACCCTCCTCTCGACAAAAGACCTGCCTTAATTGAATTAAAATACTCTCAAACAGTAGGAATATGGTGTAGAAAAGAACGAATTCTTTGCTATCGAGTCAACAAAGGAGTGTATGTGTATCTCAGATCATCTTTGTCATATTGAGTAACTTGGCATTGTGGCAACCAAATTCTCATCCAATTCACTTCAAGAGCACCCTTTAAATTAAACATAAGTATACGATTTTCCTCTAGAGTCCATTTATACTTCACTAAGGATATGCGATTCAACCACTGAATTTACTACATCGTTATCGCCTTAAAAATGTGTAGTTAGTTCTGATTGTGGTACAACATTTCAATTCCTCTCATGAGATGCAAGTATTTCAGAGCACTTGACCATGAATTTCAGCAATGCCTGAAGTAGCCCTGTTTTGCAGGCGTTCAAGACCTGAAAAGAGTGCAGCAGTGTCCAATGTCTGTCTTCTTTGCGGTCGGCCATTCAACAAAATTAAATTTGTTTCTCAAAATTAATGTTGTGCGATTTGTCTGATAAGCAAAAAACTAAGAGAGTCATTGTTTCCTGCACCGGGCCTGTACACAAACTGAACACCAACATCAACTTGTAAAATAATCGATTTCTTATTGAAAAATAATATAATATTTCGCGCCTGTATTACTCAAGGGACACAATTAAAATCAAGTGTTTTGACTGGAAAGCATGAATTATATGAAATATGGGAGGAAAAATGAAAGTATGCATATATGGTAAAATGAGAAATCTAAGTACAATAAAAAATACCTCGACTTTTCTGCCAACCATAAAACCATGTGTGCATCCTCTCACAATAGGAAATAGCATTACCAAAGGAGCAACAGAGGATAACAGACACATGAAAATGTGACGCGTGCCCTATTTCGTTTATTTCATTAAAGGAAGGCACTAAGTCGACTTTGAGTTCGTTTCATAACTGCATTCTAAAAAAGAGGTTTAACAGTTGAGAGTTATTCATGATTTACTTATTCTCAATGCTGTTATAAAGAGAGGGTTTTGCCATGATATCACTCCAGAATATCATATCGGTTTGCAGTAGATAAGCTTTGGTTAAAAAGGCTTTTATTTCATTTCGTATGCAAGTGGTACAGTGATCAATCCACACACGACAGACTTTCATTTGCGGGCATCCAATGATGGGGACATCCAAACGCATTAACTAATCCCGATCAGCTGAAGTAGTGGTGTTGGAATACACGCATAAACGACAGGAGAATCGATTCCAGAGAACATTCCACATATTAAAGACAAATGGTGTCAAAAGTTGCCCCACAAAAATTTCATTCCTATTTACTTGGAAATAGCACGCTATCTCTTGATAGCAAGGTGAAGGTCTGTGTGTTTGAGTAATGCAAGAGACTGTAACTCAATTTTGATGCAGCCAAACAATTGTATCGAATGTGAATGTTGCCGTCTGTAAGCAGGCTGAAATATTAACATCAATTAACTAATGACCTTCAGTTAAAGACAATGGCATAACATTTAATCGCTATAATAATACAGCCAACAAAAATATCAACGCCTATTCATATCCGATTAATTTTTATAACCCAGCCCAATTACGAGCTCTCGTGCACTGATGTCTAAAGGACATCCACAATGCAAAACAACATTGCACAATTAGATATATGGAAAATGCGCTGCCAAACGCATTAAACAATACAAAGTGCTTCATTTAGACTCTTTCCAAACAATGCCAAAGAAAGAGAGAGGCGCGTTAACTAACTGCCAAAAATGTAAAACCTTAAAAATACTTTATGCATGGAAGGCTTGAATTGGAGACCCTACAAATCTAAGGATTGAACGAGTAAATGTGAAAGACCTCAAGGAAAGATAGACTACAATTGATGAAATCACATATACTCAGCCAATAAATTATATTCTACGGAGTATAGAGAAGTGCTTTGAAATTGATTCATGCTCAAAATGATAAAGTTTAACCATGAACATTTAGAGACCACTCACCACTCTTGTTAGATGTATAAAGAAAGATAGAAACATGGAAAAAAAATTGCCGTAAATAATCACCCATTTAAAAGGCTAATTTATTAAGAAGTTCTAAGTATTTTACAAGACTCAATACAATCTCTACTCAACCAGGTTGTGGTACCTAATCCTTAATGACTCTTATCTGATGAGAGTGGTGTCACGCACTAAAGCCTATGATTATAAAAAGGAAAACCATAATTCATGTTTTTATAGGGAAAATTTATTATTGTTCAAATCGAACTATCTGCGATGCCCTGAAATTCATATTAATTCAGTCAACCGACATTTCAATACTTATTTGGAGAAGGCATAAATGTGATATTAACTTTGTCTTGACTAGTTATGATCTCTGTGTATTTCAATAGGCACGAAGTTGTCGATGGAATTACGATTTCACAATGACTTCTAGTGCCAAATGTCGAATAGCTTTGAGTCTCATAAAAAAATGGGTGGTCAAAACAAAGTCCCCCCCCCCTCAATTTGAAAGTTGATAAGTACTTTTAGAGGAGCAATAGCTCATATTCCTCTGAGCTGAGTGGTGAAGGGGAAAAAACTGGAATCCCATGAACTACATTTCCCTACACCCCCCCCCCAACCCCACCCCAGCTTATATAGCTGTATATTCGCTTATCAGAGCAGTACAATTAATAATTTACTTACTATTAAACAAAGATTTTACTCTTATTGTGTGACGGAGGTGCAGTGACAATATGGTTCCATTACTAAATCAGATCTCAAGAGATCAAGACCAATTGAAATCCGCTATGATTGAAATGACCCACCTATAAAATTATTAATAGAAGCTAATATCAAAACGTTGATATTGAAAAATGATTTCCAGGTTAATGATAAATAATCTTGAAAGATTCGAGTACTAGAGTGCTAAGAAGATAAGTCGAATTTTCAATATTCATAACTTTTATCTGGGGTGTTGGATATTTTAACTTGTTGACAGTTTTCTTTGCACTAGAGGTGATTTTAAGGTAATTTTAAACGATATCGTCTCTTTTAATTTAACAGACAACAATTGACCAATGCAAACCGAAGTAGAACAACTTTATAAGGTGCAGATTGATGCAAATGAAGCAAAGACCACCTGCGTAGTGATGCCTTAAATTTTGAATTTAAATTAAGTTATAACATTTTAAATTAAATAATAGATTAAAAGGTAATGTTTAAAGATTGTACAACACGACAAATATGAATAAATAAATCTAGCTAACTTGAAGACTACAATGATTTAATTGAATGAACCATTTTTTGAACTTTGTCCAAGAAGCTCGCTAAGTTTGAATAAATTTTTGAAGAACACCAATTTTCAATAGGCAAAAAACGCATTTAACATCACTCAGAATTGTGAAAAGAATTCAAACACCACATTTCCAACCTTGGATAGTATCACCGTCAATATCACATTTCTCACAAGATAGAAGAAATTACAACAATATTTCTAATAGACCACCCTAATAAACTGGGGTTTTCTCGAAGTTCGTACAAACATTCCAATCCTTAAATTAGGACTTGTTAGCTATTTACCTAATTTAACCTACCAAGCCGGCATAATTGGTTACTAAGGCCTTCCCATAAGAACTTGAACTTGGCGTTCAATTAATCACTAATTGACTTCTAGGATCCCTTCAATTAGAGAATTTTCCCGCCATTTAGGGAAAACACGTTCGCTTTGCGATTTACAGTGGAGGTTATTAGCATAAATTTGTACAAAGCAGATGATGTCGATTGGAAAAAAAAGGAATGGTGGACGTCGGGCAGAAAAATGGTCTGCATTTAAAACTGCAACCATTAAACGCTCTCATCAAATCTCGCTACCCTTTTTTCTTGAGTGCAACTTAATGAAGATAAATCTACCACATTTATATATATATATATATATATATATATATA